GAGTTTTATTTTAATGACTTAATGATGCTGAGCTGAATATACTGACATAGCCAGCTTAAATGACTATGTGGAGTATATCTTAGGTGATGTCTGGAAACCCAAAATATTTCCAAAATTGGAAGGGAAAATAAAGGCAAGAAAAATGTTACATAAAAATGAGTAGTACCAAAAAGAAAGGGCTGCCATGATTGACGGACATTATGTAACACCAAAGTAACATTGAAAAGAGAAAAGCTCAAGCAGTGAAGTGTTATCTTACTATTTTATTAAAAACATATTTTATGGTTTTTTAAAGAGGCTTAACTTGTTTGCATATCTTGGATAAACATTGCCTTATGTACTCACATTTCTTAACTTTTTAGTTCTGCAATAATTCAGTCAGTACAGAACTATTACCCTCCACCCCCATCAAACCCTTATTCTAACATATGAAATTGCACAATTCCAAAGACCATGATGCATTAATAATTGTTTTTGTGTCTAGAAGACAAAATCTGATTTTAAAAATCATTTCAGCCTATTTCTCAAAGCTTAAATTCTGTTGTTTAACCAAAATTGGTTATTTGCATTCAGAAAATGATTCATTTTGCAAAACATCTAACTTAAAAAATTGTATGGCCTTTAAGGCAAAAACTAAAAGCTATCTATTCATAACTTTCAAATTTTCTACATATAATCTCATCACTCTCCTTTAATATTCTCTTTTTAGGGACAGAAAGCTAACCAGGTCAATTCTGATCCTATACAACAATTTTACATGAGTTCAACAGTTTACCTTGGGAACTACCTTGAATCATTTGCTAAACTCTAATATTTTAAATTTATAAACTTCAGAAGAAAGGTAGCTTTTGAAGCTGACAAAAAAACAATCAGAGAACAGTAGTCTTTTTGTATGCTGCCCAGAAATTCAGTTACAAAGTGGTCCTATTGTGTTTCTCATAATTTACACGTACTTTTTTGGCAGAACAGAAAGGAAAATAGTAAGTCAAATTTGGAGGCATACAACAAAAATGAAAGACATCATTTTATTTTAAAATGCCCCCTTAACATTTAGATATCTACCAAGCCGATATTTAACATTTATAGGAGAGAAAACAGTAAAGGAAGTAGCAGCTGTTTTTCTGTGATGTCACTGAACAGGTGTGGCAGCATTCTGTACCACAGAAGTTGGATGAATCTCTTGCTGATGTCCACAAGAGTCCCTGTTGGAACCCATATTGACCTGGTCTCATTTCCACAGATATGTCCAGAAAATAACGTGGGATGATGAGAGTCCTGGGGACTGATCTATGTAGATTCGAAGCAGACATTTTCCCAAACAGATCAATACTATCCAAGGTGCAGCTGGAAAACAGGATGGGCTTGTATCATTAAACAAACACCACACTGCTTATTCACTAGGCTAAAAGCAACATGGCATTTGTGTTTTCCACAGTGTGTTTGCCAGTGACCTCAACCCTGACCTGCAGGGCCTCCCTCTCTGGTGCAAGAGGTGATCTTGTGTGACTGGGTCTTCCTCTGGTACCAAAGGACTGCCATGAGTTACGGCATTTTTTACAATGAGAGCTACATATTCTGCTTTCACATAGCCAAGATGCCAAAGCAACTAGTTAAATGTCAAAGCAACTAATCAGTGAAGTCAAGCCAAATGACTATTTGATATTATATTTAAAAAATAGAAATAGGATATTTACCTTTTACCTAATCATTCTGGATTGTGTAACTACATCTTAGATTAAATTAATTTAGAAAGTTCTTATGTTATCATTTTTCTATGTAGTACATAAAATAATTACCTTGATAAATCTAATATTTTTACTCAAATGTCGTGATAAATACTCTTTGGTTAGCTCCCCCAAGTTTAGCCCTTGTAGAACTTCCCCTTCAAAAAAGTAATATTTGCATATACTTGTATGTTCCTTTTATAGCAACAGATAATATGTACACACACAAATGAAGATTTAAACCTAATAAGAATATGCAAGGTATATCACTATTTTCCTTGTCTACAGGTTTTTAAAAAGGATAAATCACAGGCCTTAAGACAATCTTCCCCAAAAACTACTGAGCATACAGACGATAGAGATAAGCAAGGTGACTCCATATACAAGTGGGCATGAATAAATATAAACAATTTGTATAATCCTAGGGTGAAAAGTCTTAGAAAAGAACTTTTCTTCCAATGGCTACCTGCTGATGTGGGATCAAAAAGAGTATTTAAAAAGGAGACAAAGATAAAATGTTGTAATTATGTTGAAGTCTTCAAAATGTTTTAATGGCCATCGGTAGCCCTAACATCAAATAAGCTAAGATCTTTTATGTATTCAGAATGTTTATCTTTCAACTCTGGCTGTATGGTTTGAAAATCTAGCTAAAAACAGAAGCTGCCGGGGAAAAAACAAATTTGTATGGGGAAAAAAAGAACTCAAGTAACAATAATTGTTAGCTTTCTCCTTTCCTTTAAGTGAATCTTCTCTGGAGGGAGAGATGGAGCTTTGAGGGGGGAAAAAAGCAAACTTTCCCTCCAGCACATCACCATATAGACACTGTTTCCATCTCTGAATAAAGAAGAAATAAATTCAAGTCTGGAACACTGCCATTCAGTGCTGTCTCCTGCTAAGGGGACAGTCTGCTATTAATTGTTAATGTCGTCTGCCATTAGAGGGCACTAAACAACTCTACATTAATGCTTTGGAGGAAAGAAAAAGAGACGGGAAAAGAAAGAGGGTGGGAGAAGAGGGAGGGAGAACACGGGCAGAGTGGGACAGAAGGAGGGATGAGAGTCCTCCAGAAGTAGCGGAAAGAGAGATGAGGGAAGAGTGGGAGGCCGCGAGGAAAAGAGAGGAGGGAGGAAGACAGACGGAGACAAGACGAAGCTGGAAAGGTTAAGAAGGATGTGGAGCCCCAGAGCCGTCTGAAGTGAGCAAAAAGCCAGTCTCCCCCGGGCCGCCCGCGCCCCTCCCCTCCCGTCCTCACGACGATAATTATAAAGCGAAAAGCGGCGGCGAGGTCACCGGTTTTTACCAGCCTGCTGCACCGAATGCGCGCGGTGCAGGTGCGGCGGCCGCGGGGCTTTGTGATTCATGCCCACTTTCAAAGGGGGGCTTGGGCCCGTCTGAGAGGCACCCAAACAACTGTCTTCTAATATTAGCACGGCTGTATTTCGGGATCTATTATAGTCTGTCCAGACAGATCCCATTGTAATGGGATCTTTTATTAAAAGATTAGCACTATCTTCTGCAGTTGGTGGAAAAAAATCTGTTATCACTGAGTTATTTGCAGTTGTGGAGGGGGCAAAGGGGGGCTTGGGCCCGTCTGAGAGGCACCCAAACAACTGTCTTCTAATATTAGCACGGCTGTATTTCGGGATCTATTATAGTCTGTCCAGACAGATCCCATTGTAATGGGATCTTTTATTAAAAGATTAGCACTATCTTCTGCAGTTGGTGGAAAAAAATCTGTTATCACTGAGTTATTTGCAGTTGTGGAGGGGGGGTATCCAAGAATTTTGTCTGCATACTTCGCTGTCTGTTGCCGTTTTGGCTTCAGAAGCGAAAAGAATAGAAATAAAAAAGACAGCTTTGAGATAAACAATATAGCATTTTCCGTGAAATAATAGTTTTTATGTAAAAGAAAATATCCCCTCCTCAGTTTCATTCAGCGGTGCCAAAAATGTTATAAATGAGAGACCCGCCAACTTTCAGCGAAGAATGTCAGGCACTGTACTTAATAAACTGAGGCTACAGAAGTTCATTATCGATGTTGCAATCCTTTTTATTCCAGAGAGAGAGAGAGAGAGAGAGAGAGAGAGAGAGAGAGAGAGAGAGAGAGCGATTGGGAGACAAGGGACACTCTGGACAGAAACTAGGGAGTCTGCGAGCCGGGAGGAGGGGGCAGACCGCCTACGTCGGCGCCCCCGCTCCGGGCTCCAACTCCAGACACAGCGAAGAGAAAGGGGAGAAAAGAAAGGGAGAGGGAGAGTCTGACGGGGCGGAGTGGGGGAGTGAGGCGTTAAACATTTTTGTTTGCTTCTGACTCGTCCAGACAGAAGGCCACGACTCCGCACCGCTCCGCCAGGGTGGAAGGTGTCAGGGCCGCGGATCGTAGCAGCAACTCGGGGCAGGGGGTGGCTGCAAAGTAAGGCAAGCGCAGACCCAGACACAAAACCTCACGGGGTCCCGCGCCCAGACTGCGGAGCCTACAACTGCTGCGAGGCCGGCGCGTTCCGACCCGACCCGGAGCAAAAGATCTCAACAGCTCGGGGCTCTCCGGGCGTTTGCAAAGTGTCTTTGGATCCAGGGAGAGGTCGAGCAGCAGTGCGGAGGCAAACTCCCGTACCCCCCTAGTCCCCCCACTCCGCCGCCTCCAGAGCCTCCACCGCGTCCTTCCTACACACACGCACACACGCGCGCACACACACACACACACACACACACA